AGGGGCTTAGGGTTTAGGGGTTTATGCAGGGAGGCGAGGGTGTGTTGGTAAGTATGAGGGGATCCTTTTCAGGGGTCCCTGCAAGAAGGATCGCATTGCTTGGGATTCTACTATGAATATCCGGGTGAAGACGCCGGGAGGCCGTTAAAGGTCCGGGTGCTTTAGGGCTTTTGCCTCGTAGCACATGTCTGTTCGGGGCGCATGAATCTTTAGGGAAATCGCCGCAGGGTGTTGGACGTATGGCGTGGCTTGGCAGGCTTCATAATCATTGGTCAATTTCAATAAATGTTGATTAGCTCCGCAACCAGGCTACAGGCATCTTGGGTTTGGCATAAGTTGAAAGTCAGCAGGTTACGCAGGGGTTGAGGGTTTGGGGCGCCTTTTGAGGCTGCGAGCCCTCAAACCTGCGCTTTGCTCCTCGACCGACTGTGGTTTAGGGTTCAGGGTTTAGTGTTCAGGGTTTTAGGGTTTCGTGTCAGGTGAGCCTATCTCCACACTGCTGCTCTTCTGTCCAATGATGTATGTTTGATCACCTCGCTATGCTATTCATCCATTCGGTTCTGGTAGCAGCGAGAAGGCTTGTAACGCTAATGCCGTTGTTGTTATTGTCGTGGTCGTTGCTACTCCGTCGCGGCATTCTGTGAATCGGGAAAGGAGCTGTGCCCGTCTTGTGTCTGTTGGTTGCGGCACTTTCCTTGCAAGACTGAGTGGATAAGCTCTTAGTAGTTACGTTCTTATATGAACTTTAGTAGTGATTACGAACTCTACAGTAATGCTTATTCTATAAGCTCTTAGTAGTTCTCATATGGACTCGTGTCTTTGTTGTGAGTAACATTGGTTCTCATGGCTGTTTGGAGCCCGCAGGTGTGGGGGGCCTTGGCATCGAGGCCCTGCCGGACGACGTTCTGAGGTCAGGCCTAGCAACCGGGGCCTTTTGGGGTTGACCCAGTAAGCCTAAACCCGAAGCCCTTATAAACCCTATACCACAGAACCCAAACCTTGAGCCACTGCGGATATACATACTGGTGCCAAGGCTCAAGCAGGATGTGTCTTTTAAACTCATGCTCATACCCTAAATCGTTGACTCCCCGAACCTTGAGGCTGAGGGTTCAGCCCCGAGCAACCAAAGTGGGCCAAATGAAGAATGAAGACCTAAGCCCCAAGAGACTAGAGATCGTGAGCCCAGAAAGGCCTGAACCCTAAACCCTAAACCCTAAACCCTAAAGAAACTCAACACTGAACCCATGACCACGCCTCATTCTGCAATTGGAGCTTGCCCTCAGGGCGCGCCAGAATCGTCCACCACGGTTCCGTGTGGAACAGGCAGGGCCGGGTCAGTCATAAAAAAAGAGCTTATTTTGTGGCTTAAATAATTACAAATACCATTTTCAGAAGCTTTGTATTTGCCTTTTATGGGCTTAATTAAACAAGAGGATCGTATTTACGATAGTTGCTCAGAGACTTAACAGGGCCAACCTAATTTGACATCGTGATGACCAGAGACGAGGTAAACAAGTACGTAGGCGGTGCATATAAATTCTGTAATTGCAGCTGTCCACAAGGCCTCAAGAGAGATTCTGCCCGAGGTTCCTTCAAGTAGTAGTATAATAGAGAAGAAAAAACCTTTGCTATTTTTGGGGTTCCTTACGATAACTGTAGTAGAATATCCCCCAAAGCCCTATTCTAATTGGTTGGGCCCCATACTAGAGCCTTATACTAGCCCTGATACTGTAGCCCGCTTTAAAGGAACCCTTAAGGAACCCTATTCTAATTATTAAAAGTGCGGGGGGTTCAACTCCTGGCAGGCCTCCCGGCCCCTAATCCCTAAACCCATCCTACTGGGCCAAAGAGGATCCTATTTACGAGCATTTTTCAAAGGCTGTCAAGGGCCGAAAAGGCCTACCTTTTTAGGGCTCCTTATTATGGTTTCTATATATAGCTCCTCAAAAACATAGGTCTTTTGGGCCACAGGCAAACCCTAAACCCTAAACCCCAACCTGGCAATTCCTGGCAGGCGTACATCACGCCGGCGAACGTCTGGCACTGGGCTTCGGACTTGGTTTTTTGGTTTCTGTCAACTCTTTCTGAGTAGCCTGCCTTGTACCCCAAACCCAAGAACCCTAAACTGCAAATGCTAAGCGCAAGACCCCTAAAACCCACAGAACCCAAAAGCCCTAAACCCCAGAGTTCAAAAGCGCCTAAACCCTAAACTGTCCTCTTCCGAGTGTGTGTTCTGCAGGCCCGACAGCTCAAGAAGATCGACGTGGCATAGCTGGCATGTATGGAAGGCTTTGGGGCAATGGGGTCTATACCCTAAACCCTAAACCTTAAGGGTTTAGGGTTTAGGGTTTAGGGTCTAGCGTCCTGGCCCTCAGAGCTCTTGGGTTCAGTCTCGGAGTTACTAGTTGGGATGGGATTTTGGGGTGCAAAGGGCAGAGACTTCCGAGACAGAAGGCAGGAGTCTCGAGGTGCCTATCATGTGTGCCCCGCTACGACGGTTTAGGGTTTTAGTAGGCATGGAGCTGCGCGCTCACTGTTTGCTAAGCCCGGAGGGTTTAGGGTTACATTGGGTCCCGGGCCAGCATCGAAAACGATGGTAGAAACGTAGGCCCTTGGCTATGCGGTCCTAGCCGTGTCTCTGGAAAATTTGTTTGTTTGTTTTTGTTGTTCTAGCTCGTTTCGTGCTTCTAGCAACCCTAAACCGTAAACCCCCTAAACCCCTAAGCCCTCCACCCTAAACCCTAAACCCCCTAAACCCCTAAGCCCTCAACCCTAAACCTTTGAATTCTGGCCAGGTCGTAATCGACATTGACACCTTCGAATGCCCCGTCCTTGAAGCGCTTCTGGACGGTGCCGGGGCCTTGGTCCGAGGGCTGTGGGTGGGCCTTTGTCTAACGTATAGCTAAGGTTATATGATATACTGTGTATATAATATATGCTTCATATCCTGCGGTATGATTTCTAGTTTTTAACAAATATGATAACATATATATATATATATATAATGTATACATATATATATATACACATGTATCATTGAATCATACTCTTTCTTCCTGCGGTTCTTGTGCCGGGTGCTGTGCCAGTGTTGGTTGCAGTGAATTGTGGCGGTGGCGCTGGTAGTTTAACAGTTGAGCTACGACGGCTGCGAGGCCTCAGTTGTCTTTGGAAAAAAAGCGCAAGGGCCGCCGACTGCAGCCAACTAGCGATGTATGATGCGGCTCCCCTAAACCCTAAACCCTAAACCCTGAACCCGCATTTGCCCGAGGCCATGGGTGAGAGGCGGCAGGCGGGCCAACAAATGTTTGGGCTTAGGTTGAGCCGCTTGGGGATTGTTTACAGGGTCTCGGGGTTGTGGGTTACGGCTACAAGTCACAAAGTTAGTAACTATGGGGTTGAGGACTTTGGGCTTATTGTCACTATGTTTTGCGGTCCTTGCTGCGTTTCGGATTGCAGGCTTTTTCTGTCTGCCGTTTGGCGATGCGGGTTGGGCAGCAGCCTCGAAGCCAAGATTTGTCAAAATTTGAAGCTGGAGCAAAAGTAAATCTGTCCCTACCTAGACCCTTAAACTGAGTACCTGGTTGTTGATTACCTGACTTTCTTCTCCTTATAGGATCCTAAACATGAGATACGCCATCCCATATAAAAAGGTACTACATGTTGGGGTCAGGGTAATGGGAGCATGTGCTGATGTGTTGGATACCCTAAACCCTAAACCCTAAACCCTAAACCCTAAACCCTAAACCGATACCCAGGCCCCCAGGGTTTCTCGGGTCACTTCCCTGCAACTTCGATGCTTCCAGAAACCTGGGCACAGACTCAGAGTTTAGGGTTTAGGGTTTAGGGTTTAGGGGTTGCGGGTTAAAGGCTCATGGTTGACGGTTTAGCTACGGCTCAAGGTTCATATGTTTCTAAGGGTTGAGAGTTAGGTTTTAGGTGCGATTTCCCGAAGATTTCAGAGTTGCTTCCTCAGAGCTCAGAAGCACAGACTGCGACTAATGTCTGCACAGCGTATGTGGTTTATGTCGTATTGTTTTGCCAGTGTGTCTGTCTGGCTGGTCGGCTGTCTGTCTGTCTGTGTGTCTGTCTGTGTGTCTGTGTGTCTGTCTGTCTGTCTGTCTGTCTGTCTGTCTGTGTGTCTGTCTGTGTGTCTGTGTCTGTGTGTCTGTGTCTGTGTGTCTGTGTCTGTGTGTCTGTGTCTGTGTGTCTGTGTCTG